CTCGCGTTCTCGAGCTTCCAATGCTCGAAGACGGCCGAAGACGCCCCCAAGACCCCCCCCAAACCGCCGAAGACGCCCCCAAACAGCCCCAAGACGGCTCCACAGAGCCTGCAAATTGCCCACGAGGAGCCCCAGACGGCCCAAGAGAGCCCCAGGACAGGCCCAAGCTGGGCCACAGAGCGGGAGCGGGAGGCCCCGAGGCGCTACAAGACGGCCCAGATGGCCCGGGCCTCTCCCCTCCGTCCATCCTTCCCTCCCGCCCCCTCTCTCTTCTTCCTCCCCTCACCCCTCAGCTTGCGTGCTCCTCCCTCCTTTCCTGGGACGACCCCGCCAGAGCGCCAGACAGGCCCCGCCACAGCGAGCGGGGCATCGCTATACTCTATCATTTCACAAGTTGCTTTCCCCCTCCCACCCCTCAAGGGCGGCCCCGGCAGAGGGAGAGCGTTCTGACTACGCGTTTCTTTGCGTTGATAGCATGGGCACCGAAACGCGGGAAATCGTCGTCGTTGTGATCACGGCGGGGCTTACCGCGGCACCCGCGGCTCGATTAGGTCCGCGCTCCTCCTGTCTGCCTGCGGACCGTCGGGTTCCGTCGGGCTCGGCCTCGCTGTCGGTTCGGTCGGTTTCGAGATTTCCCATCGCTGGGGACGGCCTCGGCGAAGGGGAGGAGGAGAAGACTGAAGGGCAAATGGGGGCGTTAGGAAAGAAAGGGTACGACCATTGCTGCGTCCAGCTGGTTTTTGGCTCCGCCGACACGCTTGCTCAGGACGACATGCCTTTGCTTCGAAACATTGTCCCACTCGGCGCCGGAAGGCGCCGCGAAAACCAGCTGTGTACAGCTGGTTCGTTACCCCTTGTGCTGCCGAAGGAGGAGCACATCGCATTGAGCATAGTTTTTCGGATGTCCGCGCGGATTTCTTGGGTCGGCGTTGGGGTCGGTGCCTCTGGCGTCCCCCTCCAGCGCGCTCCACGCGCCAGGGTGGGCGGGGGGGCAACGCTGATCCAAGAGATCCGCGCGGACCTTCGAAGGTTTGTGCTTATGTGCTGCATGCAGTTTTTGTGTTCTACCTGTGCATTGCCCCTTCTCTCCGCGGCGGGGATATGTTCATGATTGCCGCCTGCGAGATCGACCTTCTGGGACCTCTGCAGGCGGTCCTGGCGGATAAGGACGTGCTCGGGCCCTGGGGGGTGGCTTAACAGATCCAGATGCATTGTCTGCCGAGGTTCCCGGAGATCGACCCCACAGGTTGTGGCTCTGGGTGCGGTCGGGAGCTGCTGGTCAGCGGGTCGTGCTGCCATTTCTGGACCACCGCGTTTCGGCGCGACACAGAAGCCGCGTCCAAGCTCCCAAGCGTCAATGTCCTGAACCTTTCCCAGCCCTTCTGGCCTGCGGAGCGGAGCGACACTATCCGCCTGTAGGGCATAGCGTGTCGCCGGGGCCGACGCCGCGGCATGATATCCAAAAGTTCCTGAGTGTAGATCCCCGCCTCGCACCTTCGTTAGATTACGTAGTTTTAATGGGAGCCTTGAATGTCACCGAACGTTTTCTTTTTTGGTGTTTAGCGTCCTTTAGCGGCGAATTCGGGGGTGATTGATGGCGGTTGGTGTCGGGCGAGTCTGTTGCGAGTCGGTTGCCGCTGTTTACAGTTGCTTGTCGCTCAGCCGCCGACATCTTGACTGGGCTATGCTTCCATAGCGAGCGCAACTATCGCACACCCCGAGAGAGTCACCGAGCGCGTTCCTGTATTCGCCAAGTGCCTACTCGCAAACGTCCGAAAGTCATGTTTGCCGCGATGTGATGTATCGAGAAAATCCCAGGCGGCGGGTCCAGGCCATTTGCGAGTATAGTTACCATACGAGTGGTGGAATGCGCTTGTCTAGAGAGGGCGGCCCGCGCCCATCCGGACAGGCAGCCGCTGCTGTGCATCACAGGCCCGCCCCCCGGGGGGGGGTCTGTGCCCAGAGGGGGTTCGCGCCTTCCCGCCTCGCGCGCGGCGAGAGGCGCCCCCCCTCTCCGGCCGCCGCGCCTCGTCCCCTGGCGTCGGGAGGGGGACGGAGGGGGGCGGAGGAGGGAAAACGAGGAGGAGGAGGAGGACGCACGAGGAGGAGGAGGAGAGAGCAGAGGAGGAGGCGGACGAATGATGAGGAGGAGGGGGAGGAAGAAGAGGAGGAGGGGGGAGAAGTAGTAGTAGTAGTAGTAGTAGTAGTAGTAGTAGTAGTAGTAGTAGTAGTAGTAGTAGTAGTAGTAGTAGTAGTAGTAGCTAGTAGTAGTAGTAGTAGTAGTAGTAGTTAGTAGTAGTAGTAGTAGTAGTAGTCGAAGTAGTAGTAGTAGTAGTAGTAGTCGTTCCGTCGTCGTCGTCGTCGTCGTCGTCGTCGTCGTCTCGTCGTCGTCGTCGTCGTCGTCGTCGTCGTCGTCGTCGTCGTCGTCGTCATCGCGTCGTCGTCGTCGTCTTCGTCGTCGTAGTAGTCGTAGTCGTAGTAGAAGTAGAGAAGTGTAGTG